CCACATAGGCTTCTTTCTCCCAAATGGCCCACCTTCTTTTAGTAGCGGTGATTTTTTTGGAGACATCAGTGCACGGCAAGAGTTGTCCCTCTTTGTTTTTTTTGCAACAGCACTGCTCCTCAGCCACATCACTGGCATCAGCCTGGGTTATGAATTGCTATTCTCAGTCGGGGTGTTGCAGGATGGGCTCCTTGGCAAAGAGCCATTTTAATTTCTGAAATGCTTTTTTACAATCCATTGTCCACCCAATAGGTTGGTTTACCTTTGGCTTTGTGGGAGAAGGCCCTGTTTTTAACAGTTCAGGGCCACTTCTGCAAAAGCCAGGCTGAATAGCCTATAGAAGTTAGAAAATCCAAGGAAGCTTTGTAGCTGTTGGTGGTGCATGTGGGTTGTCAGTCTAGCACTGCTTTCACTTGCCTGGGAATTTTAGTGTCTGCTGCCGGGGCTGCAGGCTCTGGACGGTTTGCTTTAAGGGATTCGATGGTCCCTGGTTGCCTTCTGGCTTTACAGAGGGTAGCGGCCCAATGCCTAAGGTTAATTTTCAAATGCCGTCCTTCCATTTGTCCAACCATGCAAGCCCCAAGATGATTGATTCATTCATTTTTGGTGCAATGATGAATCTGAGAGGTTTATAGTGGCACCCTATCTGCAACTTCACTAAGTTGGTAATTAGCTTGGCGAGGGCCCCTGCAATTAGCATCCCATCCACCTGCTCAAACTGAATGGGATTGGCTAAGAGTCTTGTGCATATGCACAACTGCCTCAACTTCCCCTTCTACCCCCATCTTGGGCACTATGTGTTTGGCTTTGAAGGCAAAAGGACAGATGGGTACACTTACCATTGGATCGTCTTTGCTGCTTTTTTCCTCCTCTGAACTGGGAGGGGTTTCCCCATCTGGTGGAGTCTCCGTCTCCTCAGGCTGGGGGGTCGGATCCTTCCATTTGTTGGGCAAGGCAACTCTTTTTGGGTGGTTTTCAGGGCCCTTTTTGTGTCCCACTGGCGGCTTGGGTGTGTACTTGTGGGATTGGGGCCAGAGCCAAGTATTCCAATGCTCTGTGCCCATGTTGACCACACCGGTAACATTTTATTGCTCTGCAGACTTGGGAGGAGGCGTTTTGGCTTGCTTAGTTTGTGTTCGGTGGCACAAAGGTCTTCTAGCTGGCTTTTTGGTAGTGGAGTTTCAGTGGGGTGAAGTTCGTGATCCAGAATGACTGTGGTGTTGTACCAATTCTGGTGCCCCCCTTATGCTGCGTGCCTTTCTCAGTTCTGGATCTAGAGCATCTTTGAACATATGCACAAGGAGCCATTCTGGCCAATTCCTTAGTTTTCCTTCTAAAGTCCCAAACTAATTATTTCATGGAACGGCCAGCCGGTCACAATCCTTGGATCTGCTCTTCTGCTTCCACTCATTGGTCCACATTCTTAATTGGATTCACTTCAGCTGAATGAACTGATCTGCATCTTTTAATTCTCTTCATGGAGCTCTGCTATCCATTCGGCCACTTTCCCTCCATTTGGAAGGGTATTGATCCTCAAATTGATCAATGTGCGCCCATCCTCAATTTGGGAAATAGGGTAGCTTCCCAGGGGTCCCATCAAAAGTTACCTGAAATTGAGGGGACTCTGGAGCTGGCAGGGCTGGATTTGCATGGCTGCTTGGGTGGATGCTTGGGGCTGGAGCCCCCCTTGCAGCACTGCTCCCTGTGGCTGAGGTTGGGCAGGAAGCTGTTGAGGCATTGCAGCTGAGAGCTGCCCCTGTGGTGGCAGTTGGGCCAGAATCTGTTGAGGGATCACTCCCTGGGGTTGCCCTGGGCCAGATATCTGAAATGGTGCCATATGCTGAGGAGGGGCTGACATCTATTGGTACTGTGTCCATCCATGGCCCAGGAAGAAAGCCTACCCCAGTGGGACTTGACTTGGAGGCTTAAACCCAAACATCGGTGACTGCCTAGAGGGCGAAATCCCCCACCTCCTCTGCTGTTGACTGGGTTGATTTCCCCATCCCAGTTTATGGGCTGTCTGCAGGGTGAAGGGGTGCTGCCATTAGTCTTATTCAAGTGGTGAGAGTTTGGGCTGACCCGCTTGTCACTGTATGGAAGGATCCTAAATCCCCACTCCATTGCATTGTGGAGTCTTGACCCGGGAAGGCGAATGTTGGCTGGGACATGGTCCAACTGGGTGGTTCTTAGCTAAGGCAAGGATTGATTCCACTCTGGATAAGCTATCTGAATTGGTCTGGGAGGCTGGTCAGAGACTGTCTGCGTGAGGGTGGCTGGGATCCCCAATCATTGGAGCCCCTGGTTGCCATCTGCATTGGTCCCCTCCACTCATGGTTCAAGTCTTATCCCACACACCCCTGTGGCTCCAACAGCAACTCCTTAAGGGAAGTAAATCCTGTGGCTTCATCTTGCAAAGTTAGGTTTGATTGCGAGGGATACCTAGGGACTGGCTCTTTGCACCTGGCTCCCAGCTGATGTTCCCTCTTGATGGCCTCTGTGGCTTCCACCATGGCTTTTGAAGGCATGTAGATGGTCTCAACATAGATAGGTGATCCGTCATCTGCTGCTTTCTCCATGGTCTTCTTATTTTCCTCCATCTTCCCTGAGTGTTTATGCCGCCTGCGCTCAGGTCATTGCTGGGGCTCAGGACCCTGGACAGCACCCTGAAATTTGTGGTAGCTGGTGAAATATTTTAATGGAGATTCAAGTTAATGTCAGTATTTCAAAAGTAAATCAGAGTTCAATGCAAAGTATTGCTCAAAGTTCCAATTTATTAAGAGAGTCATGTTGGCACATCTGGGAAAACCCAAATCTGAAAGCTTCCTGGTTTTCCCCAACCAGATGAAAGTTCAAGATCTTGCCCACAAATCCATCACATGGTCCAATCTCCCACTGTCATGCTGGTAGTTCCACCCATCCAATTCCAGTCAGGTGCAGAGTGCAGAAACAAAGGATGATCTTGGCTTTCTAGAAAGAATTTTGTTGTTATGACATAGTATGTGACTTCTTACAATTCCCCCTCCCATTTTCCCACAATACAATACAATAGCAGAGTTGGAAGGGACCTTGGAGGTCTTCTAGTCCAACCCCNCCCCTCTCTCTCTCTCTCTCTCTCCCCATGTGTGCGTGTGTGTTTATTCTTTTGCATACTCAATGGACTAAGTCTATCTTTGGCTCTGTTACCTGAGTCTCACAGGCTCATTCAGTGAGGATGACATTTAGACTCACCTTTCATTGTTTCCTCCTGCCCTGGCAAACATCCAATCTGATTTTCACTTGGAGATACTAGAATATTCTTTAACAAGGAGCAAAGAAGGAGGGGAGAGAAAGTGGTGCAGCTTATGCCGTGTCCTCATTGCTTATTAATGATCATGGAAAGGGATTTGCATTGTGGGAATTATGCAAAGAGAGGCTCAGTGGCACCATTTGTATGCAAGGAACTTTGATGCAGAAGGATTTGTGTGTCCTGCCAGACACGGGAGTTGCTACCAAGCGACAAGACAGCTCTGCACCCTTGAAACACCTCGGACAAATGTCCAGTTTTTTGGGGGGGAGAGAGGGAGGATGTAATTAGTCACGAGAGTCTTTTGGAGAACAAAAAGTGCTTCAGCCGCTTAGGAAATGTGATCATCCTGCCCAAACTGAAAAGTACAAAAGGATTTGATTGCCATTAAGAAGAGACATTATGAGTCACAAGAAAATAAAAACAAGTTGCATCCAACTGGACAGAGAATTCCACAGGAGTGTTGATTTAATAAAACAGGAAGAAATTTGTGTCCAGATTAACAACATTTTTAGACCTACCATACTATAACAGAAAAGAATAACAGAATAGCAGAGTTAGAAGGGTTCTTGGAGGTCTTCTAGTCCAACCTCCATACATATGAAGAATGGTTGCAGGAACTGGGCATGGCTAGTCTAGTGAAAAGGAGCACTAGGAGTGACTTGATAGCAGTCTTCCAATATCTAAGGGACTTCCACAAAGAAAAGAGGGTCAACCTATTCTCCAAAGCATCTGAAGGCAAAACAAGAAGCAATGGATGGAAACTAATCAAGGAAAGCTCCCATCTAGAATTAAGGAGAACTTTCCTGAGAGTGAGAACAATTAATCAATGGAACAGTTTGCCTCAAGAAGTTGTGGGGCTCCTTCTCTGGAGGTTTTTAAGAAGAGATTAAACAACCATTTGTCTGAAATGGTATAGGGTTTCCTGCTTCAGTAGGGGTTGGACTGGAAGATCTTCATGGTCCCTTCCAATTCTGTATCGTGGTGACTAAAACTGAATGCAGTATTCCAAGTGTGGCCTTACCAAGGCCTTATAAAGTGGTACTAACACTTCACATGATCTTGATTCTATCCCTCTGTTAATGCAACCTGGGATTGTGTTGGCTTTTCTGGCAGCTGCAGCATGTGGCTGGCTCTCATTTAAGTGATTGTCCACCAGGACTCCAAGATCCCTCTCACGGTTACTGCTACTGAGCCAGGTACCACCTATCTTCCAACTGTGCATTTGGTTTTTCCTGCCTTAACACATGACTACCTTAATCTTTTATTGTCTCATCTCAAAATGGAAGAATGAGACTTCCCCACAGAAAAGAGAGAGGCATTTGGGGCTTCCAGCGAGGAACAAGCACAGCTAAGAGGAGATGTAGGAAGAGCCGGATAGAAGTAGGATGTTGGCATGAGAATGGCGAGGGATTACCATTCTCCTTTAATCCTTCTCCTTTAATCCTTTAAAAGGTACAAATATCCCATTTGTCTCAAAGGCATCTGGACTTTCTTGTTGTTGTTTTTCTTTTAAAATGTTTCACATCTCTTCCAAAGAGATGAAGAAGCTTCTTGGACGAGAAGCAAAAGCCCAGGACAACCATGACCTGGATGATGGAGAATCTCCACAGACAAACACCCCACCTGTTTCAAGAGTTGTAAACTAAAATGACTCATAGAGCTCTTGGGCACAGTATGCTGATGAATTTGGCTTAAAAGGCAACACACCGCAATAATGGAGAAGAACTGCGGGATTCCTGACTACAAGGAAATCCTTCTTCAGAAGCAATGTGCCACTGAAAGCCAGTTGGGGGGAGGCAGCAAGAGGGGCCGGGTGGGGGGATTTATGGGGAAAAGGAGGCAGGCCTGGATGCGCTCTTTACCTGATACAGAAATACTTTCTCTTGGAGTTTTATTTTGCCCCAAATTTCCTGGTTTGCCTAGCAACCCAGGGGAAGCAGATGGCTGGTTCTATCAGAATTACTGCAAAGTAAGGAGCTGTCAGAATTCGGAGCAAGGCAAAACCCAGGGCTGCTGGCTGAAGCCTCCTCTCGTAGGGGGACCTGTTGTCCCAGCAAAGGACAGCATGTGACAGATGTCTTCAGGGCCGAAATCTTTCAGAAGCTTTCACTCCTTGTCAAGTGTTGTCATGTTATTCTTCAAGGGCCCNGTCTTTTCAACCTATTGCAGGGTTGACGCCCCGGGTCCAACCGACGGCGGCAGCACCAGCAGCAGCAGCTACCCAAGCGCGGAGTTGGAGCGGGGCAGCGGGAGCGACACCAGCAGTGACAACCCTCCGAGCTCTCCTCGCCCGGGGATTTTCCAGTCCTGTTTTGCCAAGCCTTCCAAGTCGTGCAGCGGTTCGTATCTGCCCAAAGAGGTGAGTCAAGTCTTCTCCCCCGGTTGCTTCTTCTTCGCCTTCGCTTCTTGCGCCGGTGACTCGTCTCCAAACGGTTCGCGTAAAAGCAACGCGTCGTGCAGGAGCTTTTAAAGGCTGCCAAAGGGCTCTTGCGCCGCGGAAGCAACAAAGAGCTTCAAAGCTGAAATGCTATTTACCCATTTTGCTTTTCTTACTGCAATTATCTAGTCCAGGGGTCTTCCAACCTTGGCTACTTTAAGACCTGTGGACTTCAACTCCCAGAGTTCCTCAGCCAGCTTTGCTGGCTGAGGAACTCTGGGAGTTGAAGTCCACTGGTCTTAAAGTAGCCACAAGGTTGGAGACCACTGATTAGTCTAACTCCAGATTTGGACAGTTTTTTTTTTTAATGCCATCAAAACACTCTTTCCTATGCTGCACAAATCCTTATTTGTGTTCGAGTTTTCTTAACCCCCCAGTTGCTTTTCCCTCTTGATTCTTTGTCCCCACCCTGGAAATTGTAGCAGTCAAAATGGCTGAGAAAAGCTTTTCCCCTTTTGTGTTTTATATTCATTGCAGACTCTTTTCTTTACACCATGTTGTAACAACTACCAGATATGGACACATCTGTCCTTTTTCAGCCTAATCCTGATTTATGGGTCTGGGGGGGGGATTATGGAATAGTTATAGTAATAATTGCACAATCAATTATCCTTCGGGATTGGGCGGCATATAAATTTTGATAGTTAAATTTCAGAAATGATGTTACATTCAATATGGTCAAATCAATTTCAGGTTTGCTCCTTAATTGATGATGAGTTTGGAAGGCTTTGTGTAAGATAAGTGGATTTATATCATAATCACAGGATGGCGTTCTGCATTTAGGTTGGTTTTTTTGGGGGGGGAACCAACAATTCTATGACAAGCGATGGAAATGTGAAGTGGAAATGTTCAAAACAATTGGTGCCAATTTTGGCTTGATCAGATAAAATTTAGTGGCTAGATGCTGCCCAGCAAAACCAGCATTTTAAGTGTATTTATTTTGTTTATTACATTTACATATCCCACTTTATTTTATGCCATTCAAAGTGGCATGCTTAAGGTTTCTTTCACTGAAGTCCACTGGTTTTATTAAATATATTTAAATAAGTAGTCCTGGAAAGAATAGTAGGAAAATCCCAGGATCATTTTAGCAGCCAAATTATCAAATTCTCTATAGCATTGCTCATTTGTGCTAATTTTGCTGTGAGGTGACATATATTGAGGTCCAATTTCTGCAGCAAGGTAATAGTATTGTATTGTATTGTATTG